AGCTTGTTGAAGATAATACTCACATTTCCCAAAACACGATGTCTGGCTTCACCGTTGCTGATACGTTGTTGCCAACACATGAGCAATCCTCCTCAAGCACCCATTTTCGAAAGCTGAGAGCCGACAAATGTCGTCCACACGAACCGGCCACGACTTGCTTCTTTTCGGATCAGTTCACTCGATCAATATGATCCGAGCACTGAAGTGCGGTGGATCCAGTTGCCACGACTCACATCTCAGACATAACAATAAATAACAACGGTAAGTTGGTGGGGTTGAATGGAAATAGCACGTAATGAAAATGGAAGCAAGAAGGAAATGCATTAAATTAATCAGAGTGGAACGAAAATTAAAAACCAGATGCAAGAAACCGTATGCAGGAACCTCACTGACCTCGTGCTTGTGACATGTCTGATACGATCTCCAACCATTGGTGTGGACCATTCCGAAGCCCCTATCCAAAAAGGCGGCACGCGTCGGCCTGATCAAATCCCTCAGTCAGTTTTTTCACCCCACTTTTCCACGTCATGAACTGGCCGTCTCACGATTTCATTCAGCTTAGTGCAGCTACGGCGTAAAATACACGCAGAGAACATGCACGGAGGACATGGCCTAGCCAACGTAAGCGACTAAGATTCACTAAACACTCAAGTGAGGAACCAGAATACTTCTTACCGGAAACCAACTGGTGGACTCCTGCATTGCTGACCCTGTGTTCCCACCAGACGGGAGTAATACTTCGTAAGTACCGGTGGTCAACCACGGCCAATCGTTTAATCGCTTCGCCGCGAACTGACCATGTCTCTGATCCATACAGCAACACCGGCCTTACCCCAGCGTTATACACCCTACCTTTCACTGACAGACTGATATCTCGCCGTCTCCATAAATGGTTGAGCTTCTAGAAAACCACACGGGCCTTGATGATACGTGAAGTAACTTCCTCAATGATGGGACCACCATAGGTGACGCAGCTGCCAAGGTAAGTGAACGATCCACCACTTCCAGTGGCTGTTCGGTGATAGCTAGAACCAAACGTGTGTCGGTGCAGTCCTACAGCAGTACTATGCACTTTGAAGGTGCAAAGCGCATACCGAAGCATGCAACGCTAAGCGTCAATCTATCCAGCAGTGTTTGCATAGTCAATGCGTCAGACCCAAGAAGAGCTATGTCGTCCGCATACACCAGGTTTGTCAGTCGATCAATTAGCAGAACTTTCACTCTGGTAGAGTCTGAAAGAGCAGAGTCACTCATGATCATTTCGATAACAAAGATGAAGAGGAAAAGAGATACAGGAGAACCGTGGCGAACCCCACTTGTTGTGGGGAACTCAGGGGATAGTTCCCCCAGACCCTTAAACGGCCTAGGGAATTACGGTAGACTTCAAGTCAAGTAAAAGTCAAAATGTGCTTTACGTATCCAGATGGATACATTTTCAGCGCTTTACAATATCGACAACGGATGAACTAAAATGACATAATCTGAACTAAATTTGTAGAAATAGATAAAAGGACACTGTGTAGAAGTGTCACTTAAATAAACAATCAGTCTAAAAGAGCAACGGTTAAACAGTTCCGGACAAAATAATTTAAAGCCATCGTTGCAAGCTAGATTTTCAATCGAGACCGTCCATATTCACCTACACAATATCTTGAATTATTCTCAAAGATTACTCGAAAGACAGCAGGGGTGACCTTGAAAATAGCTTGACAAATATCAATGTTGAAATATTCTGAGAAAACTAACATATTCCTAGCGATATTATAAAATGGTGTCCAGTGACAACGGCACGGTCGATTTAAAGCCCCCGCCGGAATTTAGTCGGCAAGCCCTTCATGATTAGGCAGCACCACATGCAGGCGCGGTCAATCAAAATCACCATTGTCGATTGTCTGTATGTATGTCTCTGCTCCAACACTTGGCGAAGAGTAAATATGTGGTCGATACAATCACTACCAGGGCGGATGCCAGTCTGTCTTTCCGTGATTCGGTCCCGACGGAGATCAGTAGGTGGTCGGAGCATGATACACGTGAGGAGTTTGAATACAATGGAAATAAGGCTGATGCCGCGATGATTTTCGCACAAACTACGCTGAGTATTCTTGAAGAGGCGCAACAGTTACAGTCGCGAGTCTGTAGCTGTCACTTCATTGTTCTAAATCGTGCTAAATAGAGTAGCGAGTCTAGTCAACAAAGGGTCATCCCCATCTTTCGGCAAAGATGTGGAAAGGTCGTCAGGTGCAGGAGCCCTGATTCGTTTCAACACGAGAAGCTCATATCGAATCTCTTCCAAACTGGGATGCGTGATATCTACTTCCAATGACGGCTCAGACGATTCGACAAGCGTCAGTGTCGCAGCAGGCCTGCTGAACTGCTCTTCACAATGTCCCTCCCAACGGGCTAGTCGACGACGCTATGGGTCAGCTGCTCTTCTTTCTCTACTATTGTTTCACTAACGGAACCGTGTTACGCATGAGCTGGAATAACACTTGGATGTTCGCAACAGCACCGCATCTCTCAATCTCGCAGGCCTTTGGCATCCACCAATGTTCTCGGTCGAATCGAAGGCTCCTTGCGATGCGTCGTTTCAGAGAGTTACGGACACGCTGAAACTCATTGTCCATTTGAATTTGTTTCCGTGCTTCGGCCAAGCTGATCGATGCCTCAGATATCCATTCGCAATTACGACGTCTCAAGGTGGGTGCACAGCATGCGTCAAAGGCATTCTTCATGGCACATTTGAGACGATCTCAGTCAGCGTTCGGTTCACGAACCTCATTCCTCACTGACAACTGGTGGGCCAGTTCGTCGTGATGCTGTTGAATTGCAGATTGCGAGTTCAAGTTACAGGTAAGAAAGTTAGAAGATAGCCGCTTCTTTGAAGCGGGTAGAGTGAGCGCCAAGTGTGCGCACACTAGAGCATGATCGGAAACCAGGCACGTGCTCTTAATTGACTGGCAGTCTTGTCCTGATGTGCGCCATTTGTAGCTGATAGCAATATGCTCAATCTGGGTCCAGCTCATAGATGGATGGCACCTTGGCTTCGGACGCTGCTTAGTTACTCCAGTAGTGGTTCGGAGTCGAACCGCTCACATGCGGCTATTCACCGGTATCCAGTCGAGCAGATTGCTTTCAGCGTGTTTGCCGAGGGCAATACCAACACACTAAATGCCTTGAGCCATGGATTCAGTATCGCCTGAGACTCGAAGTGTGTATTCATTGTCTTCATTTTCAGAACCAGGGAATCGAAGATTCGCTACGACACTGTTAACGTGTATGCGTGTTTCGGAGACACAGCACACATCAGTACCAAGAGAGTGAAGAGAGAGAGTCAGTGCTTCCTGCTGGCCGATGTCACCTGGAGTGCGGACGTTAGAGGAACCAATGTGAACTGAAACTCTAGGCTTGTTATAAGAGCTAGATGTATCGATGACAGCACCTGCGAGGTCAGTGGCACTCCCTTTTGTACAGCAACACCGGTGCTCTTGACGGCAAAGGATAAAGAAATCTTGGCATAGACCCTCACTCTCCCGGGGACGTGAAGGTAGTTCGTGCACAGCATGTCAGTATACGTTTCCGGGACCTTGTACCTTAGCAAGCAATGCCATAGCGCAGGTCGATCAACTGAGTCGAATGCAAAACGGGTGTCTAAGACTGCAACGATGGTAGGCCTCTGGTAGAGGTGGCGTTTTTTCGTACGTTTGACGGTGCGTGAAGATTTGATCCACACACACACACACACACACACACACACACACACAGAGCCAGGATGGAAGCCAGTTTGTTCTTCAGGTTACTGCGATTCACGAATCGGAGTTAGTCTCTGTAGTAGAATGGATGACAATAGCTTGGACGCAACCGAAATGAGACTAATCTTCCAGTGATTGGCGCATAAAGTGCGAGCACCCCTCTTAAGAATCAGGACTGCTGTAAGAAGGCAGCTTTCCTTCATGCCAACGTTTAGAGGATATTGAGGTTAGCTGGCTGATAGTTATTGCATCACCATAGTTGAACAACTTCAGAGGAAGTTCATCTGAGGCGGCAGCCTTGATTTGCTTCAACTGTGGAATCGCAAGGCAAACTTCCGCTTCGCCAGGTGAATCAAATGTCATGACCGTGGGCGAGCAGGTGGGATCGCAAGGCATACAAGTGGGCGGTGAACGCCACTTGAGCAGGGAGTGAAAATGTCCAGCCCACAGATCTCAGTGTCTTCTCATGGTAGCAATTGGCCAACCATCCGCTTCGTAACTAGTCTCACTGACACCAGTCTTCCTGTGGCCAATGGATCGAATGAGTTGGAAGAGCTTGCGAGTATTCACAGGGAGGGCAGTGGCCTCCACTTCCGAAGCACTCTGAGACCACGCGCCTTTGCGATCACTGCGTAGGCTTTGAGATACCGACTGACAGAACTGCGCACTTCATTAGGATTAGACTCTGCTGGGCTATTCCTGCGGCGGTCAAATTTATCCATGGAGTGCGTAGAGCTCCAGGCCTTCATAGGGTACTAAGACAGCGGACTAACTGACCGGAAGAGAACGTGGTGTTCTGCATGAACGTCCAGTAGTTGTCAATGTCTTGCGATGATTCACAGCTGTGTGCATCGGCCAGCGAAGACTAAATTGCTCTGCTGAATTGATGGATATGTAGTTTATTCGTATCTGCCTTGCATTGCTTCGTTTTCGGGACCCTCCGAAAGGCTTGCAGATGTTCACACAGACAAGAACATGGTCTGCATTTATTTACACTACCCAGCCATCTGAGACTGATTGCGATGTGACGCTTCGTATATTCATCTTTATACCTCATTTACTCGGTCTTGTTCAATACATTCACTATCCTCTTAATCGGTTTTCCGTTTTCGTCCCAGATGTGTACAAGGAGGAACCACTGCCATTCCTGGAGCCTTCGGTTGCGGTAAGACCGTAATCTCTCAGTCGCTTTCCAAGTACTCCAACTCTGACATTATCGTATACGTTGGATGTGGAGAACGAGGAAACGAAATGTCCGAAGTGCTACAAGAATTTCCTGAGGTACTTGTTCCTTACCACTGTTTTCCACACATTCGTTCCTTGGAAATTCTCTGATCCATGCTAACTTACAGAGATAGATAACCGATCATTCGTGTGCAGTTATAAAGCTGACTCCGAGCGCTTGAAACGCATCCGGAACTGTTCGATTTACCTTGTTCAAAGTTCTCTGTTTTCTGTCGCGTAAGCAGCTATAGCACAGTATCGTCTAAAATCATTTCTAAAATTACATGTATCAGACACATAACCATTTTACAAAGAAGCAAGACTTCACCGGCTTATTAAATGTCAAGTGATCTCTGCCCTTGAAGCTTTGTGCCTTGCTACTCTTTAAGTTAAGCAGATGGGCAGTATTCATTGCTTACGTGATGCCCTAGTCGTGCTCCCTTTCGAGCGACTGGCAATCTCTGAGCTTAGAGAGCACATTGCAAAGACGAAGACTGTCGGACGCACGCATATAACGTATACTAAAATAACTATACTGGACAATACCATAGTTGGCGGCATCCGCTTTCGGATTTACCTATCACTGGCCAGCCACAGGACGTCTACGCCTACAGAGTGACCATGGATGGTTTGCGCTGCACCATCCACAGCTCCAACGACACACCCCATATCCAGTGTAAACCCGAAGGAATAAGACCGGGAGGCATGCGGTTGGGAGCCACGTTTCATCAACGGAGCCGGCTCACACTCCTTCACAAGCAAACACAAGCACGGTGAATCTGAGAATCAAGCACACACAAGACGGTGGCTGGACCGTGATCCGCTCCATACTATGTGCATGGAACCACTCTTCGATCCTAACACGACCACAAGGATCGTGCACCCGTCCCCTCCAGCAACGACCAACTATCTCCTAGAGACAGTATGGACGAGGTAGTGGGTAATAGACAGGTAGACACCTTGTCAACATGCACATCAAGTGCAGCCACACCGGGGATATCAAACAACAGCCAATCACTTGAGACGACGATATACTATAAAATAATGCCTACAGATATGCCGACATCGCTTTATACTAAATAAACAAATGTAATAAATTGGTTGCCAAAATATTCACTATAGTTTAAAGACGTCAGAAAAGATATTTTAAGCAACTGTCCCAAACGCGAAGATGTTATCAACTTTATCTACAATTAACTTGAGCGACATGTGCAAGTTAATGGAAGTTAGTTCCCGTAAGCAATAATGGGACAATATAGCAAACCCACCACCTGAAATAAAGAGACCCAGCATACAATCAAGCGGTTAGTAAAACGAATGCAGCGTGCCTGCAGACGCTGCGCCGGTTCTGTCTACGCTCTCAGGAGGACTCGCCGTCGTTTCGGTGTTACCCCCGAGTGGCCTCGCTCATGACTTACTAGGCTTGCCTGACTCAGGCACTGGCGACCGCATGTGCTACAGCACCATGCGCTCGATGTCGATGGAGTACCACCCATCGCCGCTTGCCGCATCCGCATTTGCCGATTTTTCTCCGCATGCATGAGGTCTTTCTCCTGCACCTCGGCGACGGCCTTCGTGATCAGATCGCGCCATGCACACCGATCATCCACCTTCGATCCCCTTGCCCTGCAATCAAGATTGGAAAGTGAGTGGCTCACTTTGATCATGTCCTGGTAACGAAGCTTCGGTTACCGCGCATGCCGTTCCCCACTACTCCGCTGACCAACTAACAGTTGTTTTGGTATCCGTTTCAAATCCATACGGCTCACATGACCCAGCCACCTCAGGTGTCTCAGTAAAAGTATGCAGTCCACTGCATACATCCCACTTCAGTTTTATATATATATATATATATATATATATATATATATATATATATATATATATGGCCCTGAGGTGAGGTTTGTGGTTGCGAGATGCAGACAAATAGTCGACCTGCTGGCCCAACGTTGTGCCATATGCTCATGTTTTAGGTGCTTCTTCGTGTCGACCGCTGGGTTGGTTTGTTTATGCGCTTCTTCTGAGTAAGAACGAAAGCACACAATTCCGTGTTAGTTGATTCACTGACTCATGGCGCACGGTCCGCTGAGTTTCGGGAGTACGTTTTGGCTGAGGCCCTGTTTAAAGTGTGTTTGGTGCGGAGTTATCTGCGGGGTAATGGCTGATTATGACGCGTGGCAGTGAAAGCCGCAAGGAAGCTGTCTCGCCGATGCCACCTTATCTTTGCACGATAGCCAGCTGTTTGTGACGGAATGTTGTCTACACAAGGTGTAGGCGCCTTGACCCTGAATGTCTGCTTAGGGCATTAAGGTTTTCGGGTAAGTCCCCCTTCTCTCCCTCTTCTTATTCTTTATTTCATAGGTCCTCATGGTTGTATGGCAGCGAAGCATCAGTTCAAATGGCTGATGTACTGCTGTTGATGATGATGATGATGAGGCCCTGAATCGTTCTGCTGTTCAAGTGTGGACGCACTGGTATTGTACCAATCCATAAACGAACCACTAAATACAATTATACTGATATTTTCAGGCTGAATTTGCCGCCGTGCAGTCGTGGAGGAGCGACTAGAGTCGCCCTATTTGCTGCATACATCGGGAAGGATAACCAAAAACATGGAACTTCTGGCACCTTTCTTCTTCGCCTACACGTACTCTCCCTTTCCACATTTCAACCCACCCCCTACTTCCTCTAATCTAGGTCACTACACTATTGCTTGTTCAGCTTAAAGGTATGCCTTCTCCGAAAGCGCTCAACATCGGGTGCCGGAACTTGCGCATCCTGCTCGATTGGAACTCGAGTGGGCGACCCGGGTAACACACTACACTAATTGCAATGGAACTCGCGCGTTACGGCATCCACATTGCCACACTGAGACTCGATTGGGTGACCAACGGAAGCTGCATTTGTCTGGTGCGGGTTGCATATTCCACTAGGTGGGAACTCCACAGCACTGTTTGAACATGGTAGAGATTTGCACCATCCGGCCGCCTAAAATTGGTAAACTGGCAAAAATTCCATCATCGGCCCACGACTGATGACTCTTTGATTGTATCTCGGACGCTTTAAGTTTGCCATGTATACACGTTTGATCCCACTAAGTGTTATCCTGCTGACATCTTGGATCATTTTTACGCTCAGTTATCCTTCGTGATACAATCTGTGCCGAGGAGCTACCCGCTATTCCTATTGGATGATTTCAACGCGCGCGTTGGGTGTGATGCCGCAGTGTGGACAGACGTAATCGGTGCGTATGGTACGGTACAGCTAAATGGGAACGGAGACCGCCTGCTCTCGCTTTGCGCCACGCCCGGCATAACAATCACCATCACCCAGTTTGCATTAGGTGCGAGTAATATAGCTACTTGGATGCACCTACGGCTTGGTCACACTAGAATGCCCGACTTTATCATCATACGCCATCCTAACATGCGTGAATTACGCATGCTACGTGTACTGCGTGGAGCTGAGTGTGGCACTGAGCCTATGTTGGTACGAACCAACTTGCATATATATTTTCGTAAATCTGTATACTGCAATCCTGCCATGAATAGGCGCAAATTTAGTCTTGTTTCCCTAGGTACTACTGAGAAGAGTATGGAGCTGGAGAGGGCGATGAATACCTGCATTGGCTTTATCAACTGCATTGCATCAGTCGGCCACCCTTGGCATCACATCCGAGACCAAGTGAACGCTGCAGCCGAAGAAACCATCAGATGCGCAAACTATAAGCAGCCCGATTGGTTTGATGACAACAGTGCGACCATTGGCGCGGTGGTATCGGAGAAGATTTCAATGTTCGATGCACATGTGGCATACACTCTTGACTCGGAGGGTAGTCAGTTTCGCAGAATTCGACGGCGACTGACTTGTGGACTCCGCCGCACCAAGTATGCTGATTGGACGGACAAAGCGAAGCAGAACGGTACAAACATGAGGAATTCTTCGCTACCTTGAGGACGATGTATGGACCTACGTTGCAGCCGACGAGGACAATGCTCGATGCTACTTCAAGCGTTGAATGCACGCAGACTGCTGACATACTGCAGATCTGGCGAACGCACTTCGACTGTCTCTTGAACAACCGTTCAGTGTTTGACTGGTCTACGTGGCGCGGACTGCGGACACAATAGATGGAGATGCGTCTTGCCGACACTAGGTGACAAGTAGACAGCACTTACTCAGGTGCAAAACGTCGTGGCAGAGCCGATGGGATATCGCCAGAAGTGTTAAAACGCGACAGACCCTCTTTGATACATGCCCTGCAGCACTTGGTGCAATGCGTGTGGTTTGGAGAAGTGGTGCCGTCTGACTTGAAGGATGCCCTAGTTCTACACTGTGTAAAAGGGTAGAGGGAGCAAGCAATGTTGCATGCATTATAATGGTACCAACATACTGAGTTGTGTGCAAAGGTGATTATTCGAATCCAGCTCAACCGCCTCGGCACTCAGGTTGTTGAACCGAGTGTAGCGGATTCTGTTCGGGCCGCAGCATCTTGGATATGGTGTTCGTGGCTCGTCAGTTACAGGAGAAATGCCGAGGGCGACACCAACCATCGTACTCACCAAGGCATTCGATAGGGTGAACCGCGAGGCACTGTGGCTGGTATTCGGTAGGTTTGGTTGTCTGAGTATGCTAAATGTATGTATGCACAGTAGTATGTAGGCGAGGGTGCAGCCCTATGGACAAACCTCGGATGATTTCGATGTTGTTTCTGCTGTGAAGCAAGGTTGTGTCTTTACCCATACAATGTGTACCATTTCCCTTCATGCAATAATGCTTTGGACTTTTGATACTGCTTATGATTATTGTGTTCTTATGGAACATCACATTGATGGTGGGTTGCTGAACATCCGTCGTTTCGGGACGAGAACCTTAGTGTGTGAGACAACTTTCCGTATGTTACTGTTTTGCTGACGACTGTGCGTATTTTGCACACTGCGCGGATGAGTTCCATCGTATGACTTCACCTGCAGGTCGCATCATGATCAACAGTGAATTATGGGATGCCCCTCTAACAACAAGTGACATTTTGCAGGATTGTTTCCTTTCCTCATTCCCGTTTACCTTTGTCCTGGATCGCATCATAATTTTCACCTGGAGGCATTTATGATGGATGAGTTTGAGCGCTGCGTGGTAAAAAGTTAGTGGACCTGGATTATGTGGACGATATATAGTGTGGTTGTTTTACAGCCTTGTGGCGGTCCAGTCAAATTTGGTTGAACTGTCTGTAGTGGTCCCATAATTAAACATTCGCTTCGCACTTTCAATGTGCAAATTGCCGTACAACCATTTCCCTTCAAAAATTTCAATACGGCATGTCAGCTCACCGACTCTTGTGATGTGTGCTTGTTGTGTTTGAGCCGGGATGCGGTTGAAAGAGCAAGAGAGGAGGCCAAGTGATGGCTTGGTCGAGAGAAATGAATACCCTCACTTCGAAACTGGCTTCGGTTGGTGCATCCTGACTGCAGGCTTGGGGTCCAAAGGATGATGCACACGTTCGGTTGGACACACTTGCTGCTATGTCGAAAAACCGGCCCCACTGGCGTTTGTGTTGTGTGTTTCTTTGTCCATCCCCCACTCTTTAGGTTCCCCTTCAATTTCGATCTCATACAAAACGCATAATATAGTATTTAACATCATATTACTTGTTTTTTTTTGAATTCTTCTAGTGTCCCTATTTAGCGTCTTATCTTTTTGTATTGCGGCACATTAGCTGAGGTATGTTTCTCGTCCTCAGCTTACGTAATGATGACAATGATTTCTAAGCGGGATACTCTGAATTCACTATGTTTAATGTATTCTGTTCAGCCGCTTACCTGATGGGTGTAACTTCTCGCTGGATATCAGATGTCTTCAGGTTTTTGACCATCTCCGCGGATCTTTGTGGATGTTGGTTGACACCAGTCGGTCTACAACAATGATGTGGTAGTGATCAGATTGGTCCCTTGAAGCAGGAAACAGCATTACACGTATTGCGTTGATCTCGACACGTGCTACGTCACGCTTATGATGGTGTTTGTCGTATCAAACGAATATTTTCGATCACTTTGTGCTGTAAAACTGGAGCTAACAGTGAACGTTCTGGAGACTCACATTAAAATGTAGTAGCAGCTAAGGAGAAATACCCTTAAGGAGTAACATTAGCACGTTGAAGACCTGTTTGTGCAACGCAAGCAAATCATTATGTCACCAAGATTACTACTCACGGCGCTTAAATTTTGCCGTTGCCTCCATCAAAGTAAGCCCATCCTACCGGAGCTTACCCCTCAACTGTATATTCCAGTTTGTATTAGATTACGGAATAAGTTTCATTGTTCGGATCCAGTAGGGCACTAGTGACTTAAATCATGGCGCGTGTCAGCACGGGTCCATGTTGAGATTTCGCTGTACCCATGTCCCTGACTCTATCCTCGCATAAGTCACCGGCTTCATTGTATGACAGTATCTGCTTGTCACTTGGCATCTGGTCGATATCGGTTTTACTATCTGTGCTTCCGGGGTCTATTGTTTTAGTTGTCTGGCTTGTTGCCGCTGCTGTATGTGCTCAAATTCTCGCTGCTGCCCAGGTTTGAGTACTCTGGCGTAAAAATCACTTGCAGTGCCAGCAGTGTATGTTATTGGCATGTTTCCGCTGCCCGTTTCAAATTTTGAGAGCCCATTCCCTCCACCTATCACTGCGGCTACCTCAACAAATCGGATGAAACCAGTGCTTTGTAACGGAAATCGGTGCCTGGTTAGTTATTGGCTTCGCGCTAGCAAGTAGTCAAAGCTTGTTGTTATCTGCGTGCAGCCTTCTAACCACTTTTTCCCTCAAAACTGTGATTCACCGAGACCATTGACCACTGCGATACCTTGCAGTATTTTGCCCTGATTTGGAAGCCTCTTTTTTGACTGAACCCTGGATCATCGTGTACCCTTTGTTGTTCCTCAATCCGTCCCACTTCTCAGCTAACCGTCGAAGTTGATGGAAAACAGGAATCCATTATGAAACGCACAGCCTTAGTAGCAAATACCTCAAACATGCCCGTCGCTGCTCGTGAGGCGTCCATTTACACGGGAATTACCATATCGGAGTATTTCCGCGACATGGGCTACAATGTGAGCATGATGGCCGATTCAACAAGCCGTTGGGCAGAAGCACTTCGAGAAATCTCCGGCCGCTTGGCTGAAATGCCCGCCGACTCTGGATATCCGGCTTATTTGGGCGCTCGTCTTGCCAGGTAATTACAGCAATTTTTGCATCTGTTGCTATACCATCACTGATAACAGTTGTTCATTTTTCAGCCATCGTTTGCATCTGTTTTATGCTAGTTCTGACCTTTGGTTGGCAATGACATCATAGAATCCGATCCGCTGTCTCATTATTTGCCGCTCCGAGGACCATTGACCACCATCATGTTTGGACCACGCGCAACCCTTGGCATGTTGCGCTTGTTTTGGGTGTCACATTTAACATACATACCAACAGCGTACCAGTATACGGACATTGGACCATCATAAACTGTGTAGGGAATGTGCGTAATAGTTTAAAAAAGTACATGGAGGGAAACGCATAGAAATTAGAGTAACGTTTTTGTGTTTTTCACACACTGTCTTAGCTTTCTTCAGTTTAATGGTTGGGGTGTTGAACAACCAAACCATGGTGCAAATTCATGTGTACCTCCATCTGAGCTTGATAGCGCGCTATATCCTCAAGTGTATCGATGCAGCAGTATCCCTGTCTGGATCCCCAACCCGGAATTCCCGTGGCACCGACAATAGCTAACCTGGAATTCAGCGCTTCCACGTTTCGTCGCCTGGCTAGGCACTGGGCGATTTCTTCCAATGCACTCCTGTGTGAGCACATGAAGCACGACGTGTTAATTCCTCGCGCAGCATGCGTGGGACGTGTCTTAGTCATCTTAGCTGACGCAACGATACTGGCCTATCCTGAGAAAGGCCCGCATTACCTAAGACGCGTCGTCCAACGTGGTCGTTTTATACTTGTTATCCCTACCACATAGGGTCGTCCTTCTCACACATCATCATCATCAGTACACGAATCCGCCAGGGTTAGTTACTCTACAACGACACCCTGCGCGTGCAGGCACTATAGATTCTGCCCTTTGCCGACGGTAAAACCTGGCGACGCCACGCATGTCTCAAATTAGCAAACGCTGATGGGGCTTTGATATTGCGAATATTTTTTTCAATGGTTCCATCAGCAAAACGTAGCTCCTCAGGCCGTTGGCGCTGTCCACTTGTTCAAGCTCCGAACCTTACATATTGTGCAATGTGGCAGGTGGTTGTTAATCCTGGAGCATGACTTTACATTTCAAGGGCCAAAAGGTCATCTCATACATTGATACCTCAATCACCAAGTTGTTTTGGGTCGTTGGCGATCAGGCTAATATCATCAGTGTAGTCTGAGTCGGCCACATCGTCATTATCATCAATACACCTTAGCTGAGGATGAGAAACACACATCAACTAATGTGCCGCTGTACAAAATATGAGGTAATAAGCATCACAGATCAGAAAAACTAAAAAAATAGCATAACGCTAAATATCATATTATGCATCCGGTATGCGATCGTTGTTACAAAGTTTAAGTAAACTGGAAGAGAAAGACAAAGCAACTTACGACACAAATGCCATTGAGGCCGGCTGTTTGCTATGTCAATAAGTGTATCCAACCAAACGTGTTCATTGTCCTTCGGACCCCAGCCCGGCAGTCGTGAGATACCAACCGACACCAACTTCGGTGTGAAAGTTTTCATTCCTCTTGACCAAGTCATCGCTTGATTTCCCACTTTCTTCTCCTACCCAGACCCAGTTCGCACAAACTATGCAAGACGTGAGTCGGTGTGCCGGCGTGCGCAACACGTGACCCAGCCATCGGAGCCTGGTGCGCGATATGACGGTATTGAACGGTTCACTCTCCTGCTGCACCCAATACTCTACGCCGAACACGCTCATTCCTCACGCAGTGTTCCCACCAGCTGTGAACTAAACTGCGAAGGTAGCGATGGTCAAACGTAACTAACCTCTTTATATCTGTCGACCTGATGAGCCTCGTTTCTCAACTATTCAAGAGATTTAAACGAACGGCTGCATTGTAAACTCTACCCTTCAAGGCGAATGATTTTAGTGCCCGCGCCACAATTGACGGATATTGACACAAGCGCCTCAAGCGTTTGCTATGCGTTTCGCTAAGATAGCTGCCTAAGTGCTTAAATTTCTGAACGACTTGTAACTGATAACCATCAAAGGTCAGCACATAGCTCCGTCCCTGAACACCTGATTAGCACGGGACATCATGTTCGGACCGATGACGCTCTCAAATTCTCTACGTCATATCTAAACGCAGCCCAAAGGGACTCAGGAAGCGCCTGTTGGCTACTTAGGAAGCAGTGGCTATTACGCTGCTGCAACCGGAGTTATGCAAGCAGAGGACGCTTGTACAAGCGTTCATGCTGTCTTGGCCGGAACCATTGATGCCGTCCGTACGTACCCATGTCCAGAATTCACTTTGCGTTTTGACGCCAAACCAACTATTTCTTTCTTGTTATGTTTGCCTTTTAGTGTTTGGGATGTGAATGCGCGTGATGTTTACCACCTGATTGCATTGGTTGATCTATCGATTGCCTCGTTGACCTTCCGTTGAACTGTGACCTAACCATTCACTACTGCAGCTTTAGATAGCTTCCCGTGTTGTATCAAGTTTTCCCATAATTGTAAATGCCTGAGGAGAATTATCGAAAAGAGATTTCTTCTTCTAAAATCAAACAGCTTTCACGAAGTGCGTCGGGCAATTAGGGTATAAAAGGCAGGTAATGTTATTGGGCCGCATGGGCTTTTCCTCTTGTGGCTGTTGGCCAAGGAAGTTGCAACGCGTAAGCGAGTTTCTTTTGGATGCAGAGACTTAGTCTTGTTAATTTTATGCTTGCCACTTCAGCGATAGCTAATTGATGCTTCAAGTTCGATGGCACCTCATACTGAATTTCAAAGTCACTACGTTTGTCAACGTGGTGCGGTGTACTGATCAGATGGTTAGTTATGGCACTGAGATTAGTTATGTCCTATCGGTTGATGAGCGAATTCGGATCATGTTCCTTGCTTCGCTTTTCTAAGTGCCTGATCCTGCGTCCAACGTACTTAGTTAATCTTAATACGGCTTTCTTGTCAATCAACCTCTACGTGGTGACAGCTGCGTGCTTCGAGTTTATCCCATTCCAGCAAATGGTTCGACAACAGTGTTCCAGGACGTGGTGAGTTCCTCTAGCAATCGTTTTCCATATAAAAAGCCACATATGTCAGCTTAACGTGGCGGATTTGACTCGCTACTAAATAAAGTCACTGGCCCAACTCAGGCTATCTCGAACTGATGAGTCCCAACCAGGACGAAACCGCGGTCTTCGGGTGCCAGTGTTGGGGTGAGCAACACTATAATGTTTCCAAAGTCACTGTTCCTTGCTTCACTCAGGTGAAGCATTGTATTTTAGCACCTTCTTGCGAAAACCATGGAAAGCATTGAGCCACTATTTTGTAACCGACCAAACGAAAGGCATATGACCTGGACAACCAGTAACCGGCTCTAACTGGGCTCGATTCCCTGAATTTGCCCTGCGGACTTGCTGTTAGGTTATTCATCCAAACGCTCGGAGTGGCGTCCTCTAAGTCAACTTCTTATTTCGGCTTGGGCGACCAGGTGGAATCACACCCACTGACACAAAACCGTTGACTGTTCTACACTGCGTTCGTCTGTTACCGTTTCCGCTTCATCACACGCCGATTATTTGTTTGTTAACAATCCTTGTTCTCCATTGCCTGATTCCTTTGTCTATGGACCTGTCAGCCATTCCGGTTGCACAGCGACGTCTGGCTGTACGTGAGCACTGAGTCTCAAAGAGAAGATAGTTGGATCCAAACTCCCGAGTACCCTCCGCATAAGACCAGCATTCTGTTTACCTGTTTCTCAAGCCGACTCTGACTGCCTGGGACAACTGTAGTCGTCCTGCACCAGCACACTGAGGTCACGTTCCTGAGTGGTGGTCTTCGCATCCTGTGCCTCAAGCTTGTAGATGTAGGCGTGTGCATGGCGGATGTGGACAGCACTGCACTTGTCTACGTCGAATGCCAGTGCTTTCCTTACAGGCCGTTTCCAAGCCCATCGAAGATGCGCTGGAGGATCTCTTGGTCTCCAATTCCTTGATCGCCCGCCAAACCTTAACATCGTCCGCAAAGAGTAAAAACTGAGGTAATAACTTTCGCTTGATCGTTAATGAAAACTACAAGCAGGCGAGGCCCAAGTAGCGAATCCTGCGATGCACCGCACTTCACTCGATTCGGGTGGGACAAAAATGTTTGGACTCTAATCTCCACTTGCCGTTCGCATCTCTTCATCAGCCTGGGACCTTTTCAGAGACATGATCATGCCTTTGCGGGCATGCCTCGTATCACCGAGAATAATGTTCATTATTTTTATCATTGGTCCGTGTTGCTGTCCATGTCCAGTATCTTCTCCAGTCAAACACAAAGTACATCGAGTACACGTGGATTTAGAATGTGAGGCTGGCTAGCACCAGCAAACCTGGTGGTGAACGTTCCATTTTTGTTAGGAGATTGATGTTTGCTTTCATCGATCCTTAGACCTACCAATACCGGGAAAACAAATCGAATCTTTTTCTGATGATTGATGGGTGAACACAAATAACACCAACCGCCCTTTCCATCAGCATGTACTACTCTCTCGGAATCCTCTCCATCGTAGAACTTCTAATGCCATTCAGCTCAAGAAATGCCCTTGACGAAACGATAGTTAAGGAACTGAGAGCGTGTGAGATCTTCAGAATGATGAGAATTGCTCTCAGTGACATAGATTAGAATGGCCTTCGCTGTTATCCGGCACGAACGACAGCTGAAAGCATGGTGAGTCCTGATTGGATGGTCAGTTTAACTGTTGGTTGTATGCATGGATTGCGACGCGGAATCTCAATGTCAAACGCGTTTCGCATTGAAGTATACCTTAGTCAATTCGATCACTAGGATCGTTAGGGTACAAAGTTCAGTTCAGTGTGAATCGCGGTCCATATTGCGAGTATTCATTGCAATTCATTCACATAAACAGTGCATCAGAATGACTCTTCCAATCATTCACTAACCGTTGTGACAGGTGTTACCCATCGTGACTCGGTGGCTAAAGTGGTGGAGGTTGCGGCTATCATCCCAATTGCTCCGTGTTCGATGCTAGTGATCTCTGATGAGATAAAACCAGTTCGAAACCGGTCGTAATGTGCAAAGTTATTGGGTGAACAACACGCACCATTCATCTGCGTTAACCTATCCGGTCCTGTTGATTCCGAATCCATGTAAGTATATTGGTCAACAATCCATTTACCATCAAAAAGAATGCTTAATCATGATAATGACTATGAATCAGTTATTTTCACGCTAGAACTGCCATAGAGATAGACAACTTTAGCAAGCTGATTGGGGGTTGCTCACCTTGTTTTAATCGGGAGGTAGCAAAATGATTTCCGCGTAATGGACAGTGTGTTGCCTTTTTCCTTTCTGCTTCGCTCTCACAATAATTGGGGGATAAAATTGAGGTCGCGTGAGTTAGACCCTTGTGGTTAGCGCAAACGAGACAGCTGTTCTTGTTAATTTCCGTCATTACGAACGATTCGTCTAGTTGGTTAGAATGATCTCCCATGGAAATAGAAAATGGGTGTTGCCCGCCCGAAAACACTGCACTACTATTTTCGGGCGGGCAACATCCAATTTCTATTTGCATCACCCACGGTCCTCGTGATCGAAAGATCAAGGTTCACTTCAATGGGAATCGCGTTCAACATTGAGATTGCGCGTTGTAATCCATCTACGCAACGTGTACCTCCAAATGACCCTCAACATAGTTTTCCTATGCACTTTGAAAATCGCAACCAAATCTTTGCTGAAGACATTAGTGCTGATCGCAACTACCACTATGCGGTCCACTACTTCCCTATTACGCAGCTATTTTCCAGGTCTTAGCGTGGATTAGTGGAGATGATGTCGAGTAGCTGTCTCCCACTCCTACCTTCTTCATGTCCTGCATCTGCTTATCCCACCAAGCTTCCCTGTCAACTCGTAGGTGCCTCCCTCCTCATAATCTGCGTGTTCTCTTTGTACTGGATATCAGAAACGGAGCATCTGGATTTCAGCCACGTCTGCGACATTTATGATAACTTGGTGCAGCGGCAACTACCACTATTACATACAGAAGCTTCCTCAGCAGAAAAAAGTAGGAAAGCTCAGTAGTGCGCCAGTACGCAGTACCAACGCTTCACCGCAGCCCAACCACCATCAGCCGTACATGAGTTAAGTACACTGCGAACGTCGCCCGGTCATTACTCAAGCTCGAACCCGCGCCCTCGGATTACAAGGCAGGATTGTAATCCATAAGGCTACTGCTCGTATATGGGTACATAAATCCGAATCCATTGAGATTCGATGTCCTCAGGAAAATGGTGGGAGATCAATGCTTTAAGTATCCTAACTGGTTTACTTGACCATCGGCTGTGACAGCTGCTGGCCTACAAATCAACAGAGTCGTTTGCTATGTCTCTAGCAAAGTGCAAGCAAAATCAACGGCGTCCTGATTGGCAAAGCGGACTGTGGTCAAAGATGGAAAGTGGGGCTTACAAGCGATGTGTCCTTCTACTATCCGTCATTGGCCCGCTGCAAGGGGATACCACGGAGATATTCGTGCTAATTATGCTTGATATGTCTATTGCTTCGAATAATCGGTTGTTTGGCACTCGTTTGTAGGTATCAAACTCTGATCATGTTTAAATTGAACAGTATAAGTATCATATTAATGTGGCCTACGCTTGAGGTTGCCTGGTCAAAAACGTAAGTATTACGGTGCCCCATCGAAATCTAGGCTTGCTCCATTTTCGCGTCGCTTCAATCTTTTCACTCCATTATTTTTTTCTCTTAATGATTGGAAAGGATGCGATTGTTCTAATCACCAGCAAGGCTTGCACTATACCGTTATCTTACTTCTCTACAGTTCTTTTATCTGCTATCAAGTTGCTTCTTGTGCACTGTATCTGTGTGACCCCGCAAACGCATTCATCTTACGCTTGTTCATCTTTCCTTACTTTGAACACCGGACTAAACGATTGCAAAGCTTCGTCACGAATGTGCACACTTTTCGTCGCAGATCTCTGCTGGGACTCAGTGTCTGTGGTTGGTATTCAACCGATGCGTTTGCCTCATTTCAGAAAAAAAGCCGTTTCTCTCACTTAAAGTCCTCTATTTATCTTAAATGTACCGCTTAACTCCAAGCAGACTATATTAGACTGCCATTGTCATACGGCTTGATTTGTTGGCACAGTTTCTACGAGCGAGCCGGCCGGGTTCATTGCCTTGGTGGTCCTGAACCGCGTTATGGGTCAGTTGGAATCGTCGGTGCCGTGTCTCCTCCCGGTGGGGATTTTGCCGATCCTGTCACTTCAGCTACCTTGAGTATCGTCCAAGTAAGTGCTGCACTCTGAGTCATTACCCACACTTGTCCTTTGTTTCTCACCACTGTCGTCGCGTCTACATTTCCTTATCACTCCTAGCTTCCATATCCTATAACGCAAAGTGTAAGCTGTAAGATGCAGTTGTTAGGAGCCCAGCTGACTATCCAACTGCTGAGATTTCCCGATGTTCCGCCTAAAAGGTTTACTCCCACAATTCTATTCGTGCTGAATACCCCTAGCCAAAACTTAAGCCGGACGGGGATTATTTAGCAAAGGACAGCTAACCAGCACGTTGGTGACTTTATCTCGCGTCACTAACATTCCGTGATTACCTCAAAAAAAGTTGGAGTCATCTGCAAAAATTACTTGTTACGGCGCAGTCAAGCCCTGCGTTCACTACCAAAATCGTATCGTTTCGGGATCACCATCAGCTTAATTCCTAATCTATTCTACTGCGGATAGTGTCAGTTTAATCTGTAGCAGCGCAAATGTCCAAAAGCTTGGTGGCTCCCGTAAGCACGAATACGCATAGACAGAGCGCACTCTTGACGAAGGCGGCACATGTGTACAAAGATGGTGTGCATTGTGACCATTTACTCGCACGCATCTTGTTTGGTTAGTTGGAATGCTTTGAAGCATTGTGACTGTTGCTTGTTCCTAGGACGCGTCACGTTTCGTTTTCACCCCCTACTCTTTTAATCTAAACTATTGTCACTTGCTTCATCCCTATCTTTTACTCCCGCTATCTGACTCTTGTCTTGTGTGGCAACATGAATCTCCCTCGAAAACGGTAACAGCGAAGAATTTCCTCACTACATCGTCAACAATATTGCGAAATTTTTGAAGACGTGAGGCTGGAGATAATTGCTCCGTTTAACAATGTGTTCACCGCAGCAACGACGTCGGACACGCAGATGTTGCAAGTTGACCACATGTTACGAAATGTACCATCTTCGTTATGAAATTGCGACGCTTGGTGCCGTTTGTGTTGAAATGCAGCGATGTTATCCTGCTCCATAGTGATGAGATCAATTCTCATGTGCCCTCAAATCTCTTAACATCATTTCTTTCTGGGCATTTTTCTGGATGAGTATCACCAGCAAGTCCGAGGTGATGTTTGCAGGCGAGCAGTAGGCGGCAATGGCCGAATTCAGCCGCGCGAACAAAAGAACCTAGCAATTTGCTTTACTGGCTCAGTGCACATTTGGGATAATTTATCTCTAGTTCATAGCAGATCGGCTAGAGTTAATAGGTCAAAGAAATTCAACCTCAGTATCCTGCTCATCGGAATTGCTGACGCCCCCCATTCCTGCGACCACCAACGAGAGTGCAAACTCAGGAGAGGAAAGATCATTTTGATTATCCGGCAAAGGTAACCACATCGAAGAATATGGGAAAAAGGGTTGAACAATTCCTGATCGCAAAGTTGAACAACTCCCGGCGTCTAAGAGTGCATGTAAGCCTAACAGTTAGGTGAACAGGAATCCTGAGGCGCCTGGGAAAAAAAGACAAGAAAGGACAAACACGAAGAAGGTGAATGACGGCCATCAAATCGTTCCGCATAACTCAGGAGTAATTCTGGAGTACGGGAATCCACTAAAAATGTTTCGACTGAATACCCATGCAACGGTGCCAGTGGATTGTTTAGTGCCCAGCTTGGGGTACATTCTGCGTTGGTTTGCTGATGGTTTTTATGTTTTTTACTGTTCTGCCGAACAAACGGTGCTGAGAAAACAAATTAACAGAACGAAAGGAACGGGGGTGGAATTGACCGCCAATTAATGGGGAAACCCACCTGGTCCTGAAACCGCGTACACGAAGCCATATTGACTTTCCCGGGTCACCATCTTCCAGTTTCAGGTTTTTGAAAGATTGTTCCATAAGGATGGAGGGTAAGAAAATATCACGTTTCGCTCGATAATACGATGTAAAAAAAACCTGCATATGAAAGAGGCATCCAGATTAATGCGCATAATCAGGGAAAGTTCAAGCGAGAATTCTGAAGAGCCAAGTCATTGTAATCAGGAAAAGTAGAAAAACCAGCGCAGTATGAAGGAGTTAGAATGCAGTACGCGTCTAGTAAATTAATTTCGAATATCTGGGGGTGGCTAGAACAGCATCCTGATTATCAAACTGTTGGACGCAAAAAAGCACCCTACGAGACTAGAAGTTAAGGTTATATGATGATTTGTTGAACCCCATAATTCATTTAGTTGAGCTGCGTGGCATCTTTTCTGTGCCTTCAGTCCCTCAAATAAGACGGATCAATAATTAGACATCATACCAACTCAGTCCTTGCATCTCCTACACCAGAGGCTGGGGAGATGTCAATGTCTGTCTTCCTCTCAAACGCAGCAATAAGCGAGGAGTCTAACAGTAACAAGCTCAGTTAGATTGGTACATTCAAGGAGCTGCAGGAATTGATTCTGATGGAAAACAGTATCATCCAAGATCACTAGATTGATGTCACCCAAAGTAGAAAATGCAGTTATTCGTCAATGAAAAGCAGATTCATTGAACTTTGAATAATAGGCCAATTAGCAAAGAGATCTTTTAATAATTCTCTTCAGGCCATCAAAATTATAGAAAGAGACGGGCAACAGTATGCTAATGAAATGTATTTGCAGTGTAAGGTACCCGTAATTGCCACTCACGATACAGTTGAAAGATATATCTGTTTTATTCTATATCTTCCAAGACCGCGCGTTGTCGGTCTCAAGTAGATCTTAATAGGATTTTATGATCACACCCGAGCTGGACCCGTCTCCCAATGTCTATTGAGTCAGAATATTGTGTAGGAAGCTAGGGTTGGAATACTTCAAGTAAACCACCGGATACACCACTGCCCTGCAGATCAGTGACGACTTCGGAGTGGAAGAATTGTGCACTCGAACAAAACCCACTCTCGAAATACGTAACGAGAGATTGACATCCAATTACAATATAGCCATTAGTAATGTTTTCTCTAATATCAGTGCATGTCACGTAGAGCGAGAGACACCCCTAAAGCAAAGGGCAAGAGTACTAAAGTTTGACTTTCGGGGGGGCCAACCATGAGTAGTTTTATTGATATGGAATGTGTAGTTTGGTAATTTAGAAAAATGTGAGGGTGTGTGGTTTTGGGGGGGGGGAAATTAGTGGATATTGGTTAAAATTGGAAATATGTTATTTATTGTGGAATAGGGTAAGTGTGAGATGTGTGGGGGGTGGGGGTGTTATTTGTTTTAATTAGGGTATGAGTAGAGGGTGGTTGGAAAGGGGTTATGGTGGAGGAGGTATAGGGTGAGGGGTTTGATTTTGTTTGGGTTGTGGTGAAATGTAAAATGTTTATGAGTGTGTGTAATTGTGGGTGGGTTGGGGTTTTTGGTTGTGGGTGGGGGTGAGTGGTGAGAGAGGTGTTGGAGAGGTTTGGTGGGTTGTGGGGGAGAGGGGGGAGTGGTGGTTGGGGGTTGGGGTGGGTGTGTTTGTGGGGTTGGTGGGGTTGTTTGGGTGGGGGTGGGTTGGGTGTGGGGTGTGGGTGTGGGTTGGGTGGGGTGGTTGGGGGTGGGGGGTTGGGGGGGGGGGGTGGTTGGTGGGGTATGGTTGGTGTTGGGTTGTGTTTGTGGTTGGGGTGGGGTGGTGTTGAGGGGAGGGGGGGTGGGGGGGAGTGGATTAATATTTTTTGAAGGGAGGGTATATAGGTAGGGATTGTGGTTGATTGAAAGTTTGGAATGTTTTTAGTAATATGTTGATAATGAAAAATTAGTGAGGATTTAGTAAGATGTGATAGTTCTTTTTCACTTGCTCTTTTTTGGAGTTCATGTGGCCAGATTGCAGATTTTTTGTACAAATCGGCTTTTGTAGGCGTTTTATTGTGGCTACGTACAAAGCAGACGAATCTCCGCGACGGTCGGGAAGGCAGTCAGCTCTCAGTAATGCGTAATCTGGTAAGTATAGTCCACCGTACATGACTTCGGAGGATAGCCGTGTTTTAGTGAAAAGTGAATACATCTGAATAGGAATTGTTTACCAGAACACCCATTTCAGACGTCTTGTTTCGCAGACTACGCACGTTACAGAGCAATACTTGAATAAAGCTGGGATGGGGAACTTAGAATCGTGCGCCACCAGAACTGATGTTGGGAAAGCATAAATGGACCGTCGTCTCATCACAAAAAACACCTAGTGTAAGTATTTTTGCCGCTTCGCGTCGAGCTTTGAGGTCTTTGATGGCCCACTGCAGCTTAAGTCTGTCAGCTTAAGACAGCCCCGGCTGTATATTGACCACTAAACTCTTCAGCTTCAAAACGAAGCGCAGTAGTGCTTTGCGATCCTCCAGTAGAAAGAACGATGCGCAGTAGACGAGGCCGGTTGCTGGTACTGCCGACTGGTAAGTTACCAAGTCTGATTAGCTTTCTAACGGTACCACAGGAAACCCGGGTGAAAGGTGTTTATAGTCACACATTTTAAGCAAACAGAGATCATCAATCATTTGTTCCCTTGGAAATTTAGCTGGAGACTTCGAAATGTTCCTGAAAATAACATTATTGTTAGCAAACGAGTCGCTACGCCGGAGTATCTATGGCATGCGTTACAGACAGCTGTTGACAATGCACGAAGCATTTCGTTCAACTGCGTAGATGTGGTATTCGCACATGGTAAAAGCTGTGATAAGGGGGTTGTAGAACGTCCTGTAGATGGCTCCGGGATCAGAGCAACACTTGAAGTCAGTTAGCAGCAAGTGCAGATGTCACACTGCATTCCATCCAACGGGATAATGACTAATTCAGAGCATCCCTCTTTACAACACTGCGTTATTGAGTTAAGAGGAAGTGTCCGCGGAAGGCTAAAAAGTGAATTCAATTACCGTGGTAGCAAAGGGAAAAGAAGTGCAGGAGAAGAGAAAAGTTAAGCATGAATCAGCTTGCGGTAGCGTACTACGCGGTCGACCCGAGCATCAATCAGACAAGGGTTCAAGTGGGACTGAAACAATAGAAGGATCCCGGGAGTGTTCTTTCTTGAGGGGATTGTTGAATCAAAAGTTAATAAGAAGAATCGAGATTTTGATGGGCCTAAGATAAAACGCCCGATTTAAACCACAGTCAACCAGTTACTACTAACGTTCTCTGAATTAGCAGTCGCCAATTTGCTATTTAGACTTCTGTAAAGATCTTGACTGTGTTAACCATCGTTTCTTACTGGAAAAGCTGATATGGTTCGAGAGACATTTCCGACAACTGAATTGGATAGCCAAATCGATTTGCAGTAGAGTCTTCTGTGCTAGAATTGGTTATTGCAGCTGAAGCACAAGCATGCCTAACAGTGGCGCTCCCCAGCGTTCTATGTTGATTTCGTTATCATGCTTTATGTATATCAATGAGTTTTCCCCCTTTGAGAACCCTTAGAAACGCAAACAGGGTATCGAAACAAGCTAACGAATGACTTCTGCATTGTAGTCGTCCTTGTGGGACTTACCTTTTAATGCAGAAAATGTCAACTATTATCACTCATCATCGAAGGGGTTACAGTGCAAACTACTACCGGTTCCATGTCATTGCGGTGATTTGATGAAGTAGTAAATCTTGTTATTGCAAGAAGAAACGCAAGCGGAACGCTTAAAGCGATCACACTTCTGGAGTTTTGTGCCAATTGGCCGTAAAAGAACACTCTGGCAAAAAGTGCACGGAAGATCTGCAGTGAGGACACTATTGAAGATGAAATGAAGCGAATCTGAAAACGCTTCTCGAAAACGGTTATGCAGAAGGATTTATTGAAGTTCATATGAAGCCTAGTAGCCAAAGAACAGCAGAACAAACGGTAGAGAAGAAACAGCTATCTTGTTAGCTTCGCTTTATGGGTGACATGCCGACTGAGATGATATGCACAAGATGATTGATACAGATTTGCCGAAGGACCTTTAATGCAGCTCGCCTGAGTGCCGTTTTTACAAGCAGTTCGCTCACTGTTCCTAGATTCAAAGACAAGATGCCTGATCAACACCAATCAGTGATAATCTACTGTTTCATCCGCTCCTATGGGACTAGATGCATTGGGTGCACGGCTAGATACTTGGAAAAGCGAATCAAGGAACATCTATCCAAGTCGCTCGTCACCCATCAGGACAAAACTAACTTGAGTGCAGTAACCATCTGCTCTGTACCGGTCATTTGATTGATAAGCGTAATTCAGGTAAGATTCTGTATCGAGTGCAATCGCAGCTGCACCATCGATCAGGGGCACGGCTGCTTGCTAACACTGAAGCGGCATGCATCAGATTGACAAAACCCAATTTATGCATTCGGAAAAAGCATGTCCAATCATTGCAACTTTCCTGGCCAGCCACTAACAGAGATGGAGCTAACCCCACTCAGTGCTGCCACAAGCCGAATTGACGCGGGCGCGTGTTGGAATTTGGGGAAAGCTTTTTGTCGCCATTTCGCCTGAATCTTCAGCTGATTTTCAGCAATCCAAAAATTCCCATTTATTAGAATGAATAGGAGGGGCAGAATCTGAATAAAGAATTTTTTCGGTAATTCTCATCAGAAAGGTCCCCCTAAATTTCACAACGAGGGTGCTCCATTGTGTTCCATACTAAACATGGTTAGCTCTTCGCAACATTTGATAGCTCAATGGATGATTGAGAAACTGGAACCGCTGCGTAAAACCGTCTGCACTTAATGCGTGAAAGAATTTCGAGTTCAATGAAAAGATAAGGGGCGTGAACCTTAACAAATGGACATCATCATTTGATGCTCTGCCGTTGTTTACGAATACTCCGTTGTTGGAAAGAGTGGAATATGTTTGCGAACTAGTACGGCAACTGTATGTAACTATAAATCTCTCGGAAAACCTTCTGAAGGAATTCCTACTCAGAGGCACCTTAAACGTGCAGTTCACCTTCAACGGGGGGGAATAACTTTAAATTGATGGAGTTGCTATGGGATCACAATTGGGACCCT